GACTAAAAAAATGTCTTTATTTCGTTGTCACCAGCCTGCTAACACATCAGCGAGTCCGTTGGCTACATCAGTAAATGACAATTTTCTCTTCACACATTTAATGCTAATTCTTCCCCATCTAATAATTTCATGCTGCTCTGCGTCACATGTGTTGAGTTCTGTTGGTAATTCCAAACCACAAGCACGTCTGGTGGTCAAACAGGGAAGTTTGACACTGTGCTGATGAAGCAGCCTCTTTGGCACTGGTATGTGTGGAACGAGTCCAACACAACAACTAATTCATGGGTGCCATTGCTGTACAGAGCCACTGAGAGGTCATTTTCCTGTCACACGGTCAGCTGATCTGACCACAGAGCAGACCACAGTCACCTAGAGCTGACAGACAGACTTATTGGGGCCAGTCATGGTACCATTTTGTCAGTTCTTTGTTTTGACATTTACGTATATGGAAATAAGGTCATAAATTAAAAGCCGTTTCCTGTGAAGTTTCATCTTAACACACATCCTCTTTCTTAGCACGGCCTCTTCCTCTTTCTTGACCCTCCATGTTTCCAACCTTCAACCTCCTCTACAACTGAGGACACAAAAACAGTTTTGTCTTTCCTCTCATACTTCAGAAACACCCACTGTCACAGGTCAGCTGTCTGTGTAGAGGTAAATTTAGAATGTTTTACTAGACAGCGCTGAGCACTGCAGCTTTTCCTGTTGGGCAGAGGTTAAAAATGTACATAATTACTTCCATGCAGGTTTATTCCTGGGCAGTGGAGATAAAGCTTCCAGAACATGTCTGACAAAAGCTCATTCAGTTAATCACTTCTACACAATCGTGTAGCTGAGCATAAATTAGGTGACTTATAAAAAATAAAAAAATGAATGAAAAAAATAATGATATTTTTTGTACCATCCAGCTGCCAAGATGCACAGGAGGAACTACAGGAGTTTCAGGAAGGAAGCCGTGAACTAGAGGCCGAGTTGGAGGCACAGCTGACTCAAGCCGAACACCGTCTGAGAGACCTACAAACTGAGAATGAAAGGCTAAAGAACGAGGTGTCCAACCTCAAGGTAACGGCACTACGTGACCTGCCCCTGGCTTAGTTGGTATGGGGCCAGCATGAGTATTCATATGTTGATAAGGACACAGGTTATGTAATCTGTTGGATCCTAACGATAAGATCCAAAGTCTCATTTGTTAATAAAAAAACAAATCTCAAGAAAATTATTCATAGAAGTTAGAACAAGGATACATATAAAACCTGCACAATAAGTTTTAATAAAGTATAATTGTTCACATGGACCACCACGTGACTAAGCTGGTAGCAGCTGATGCTAAGAACTCTGAGTGTTAATAAATCATGTTTCACAGCCGTGCAGCTGGTCACCCACTGCAGTGTAAGAGGAAACCAGTCACAGGGCCTGTACCTATGGAACAAAGAGAGCCTTTGAATTAATGTGTATGAGCGTCTGTACGTTGAGTCTTGTGATCTCATTAGTGCTTCTGCTAATAACTGTTGTGTTGTATATAAAATAACAAATTGTACTTTGACAAATCACACTGTTATGTGTAATTTAATTTGGTTGAGCTGTAGCAGAAAACTGAGAAGATTGCTTAAGCCCAACAAATGGATTTCAAATGCTTTAAAAACTTAAAACTGAATTGAAATCTTCTCACATTAACATATTCTTTTTTTTTTCTCAGGAAAAGTTGGAGCACCAGTACACACAGAGTTATAAACAGATTTCCGTGCTGGAGGATGATCTGGGTCAGACACGCAGCATCAAGGAGCAGCTTCACAAATATGTGAGGGAGCTGGAGCAGGCCAACGATGACCTGGAAAGAGCCAAGAGGCAGGAGTGATGCTTTATATTTAATGTCGATGCAGCTCACAGAAATTATGTGGATTTGACTGTTTGAAGCACAGAACAAGTCAACCACTGTTCTGTGTCTTCAAGTGAATTAATTTTTTTTATATTTTGCAAAGATGCCTTGAAAATATTTCTGAATCACTTAATGTTATCGTAACAATTTCCAGACAAAGTAATTGTTGTACTGAAGCTCTTTCTATGGAAGTCCAAAAAATGCATTTGAGACATCTTCTACAACAGGTTTACAGTGTCAAGTCTTGTATATAATACAGTAAATGACATGGGTCACATGTGGCAAATGCTGGTTTAAAACTGCATTATCAACTGATGGAATTACCAGATGACCAAATATTTTGAAGTAATAATGTGTTGTGCTATTTTTTAAAGAAGTCACAGGATTCAAAATCTACTCAAAGATATCTTTACGTCCTCAACATCCCCTCTGGAGGGAGTGTACTACCACTGTAAATTTCTTTCTAGTGATTTCTTCAGCATGTTGAGCTTCAGTAAAATATACCTGAAATGCATTAACAGTTATTTTCACTCTCTCTGTTCAGGGCCACAATAGTTTCCCTTGATGATTTTGAGGGTCGTTTAAATCAGGCTATTGAGAGAAATGCCTTCCTGGAGAGTGAGCTGGATGAGAAAGAGTCGCTTCTTGTGTCTGTGCAGCGCCTGAAAGACGAAGCCCGAGGTAAAGACCATGTGCAGAAGAAGCCACATGACAAATTTACATAAAGGCAGCGTACATGAGAACCTTTTTATGAACCTACATTAATCCCAGTTTTCACTCATGTGTCGACTCACACCCAACATCTAAAGAGCGTGTCAGCTGTTGTGTTTACTGAGTTTTACTCTGTTGCCCACAGACCTGAGACAAGAGCTGGCGGTCCGGGAGAGGACAACGGACAGGATGTCAGCCCCCAGCTCCCCCACTCTAGACCTAGATAGAGAAAAGATAGATTCTGCAGTCCAGGCCTCTCTGTCCCTCCCAGCCACATCTATAGGACAGAGTGTTGAACATTCATTCATCAGCCCAAAAGGTCAGTACATCTCTCCTTTACTTACTGTAATTTGGAACGTGTATCTGAGTGTGTGTGTACACTAACATCAACTGTTTGTGTGCAGCTTTGTCCAATGGCTGTGGCAACTCCTCTCTGACGCCCTCTGCCAGAATCTCAGCTCTAAACATTGTTGGTGATCTCCTGAGAAAAGTTGGGGTAGGTGTTGATCATTTTTTTGTTTTAAATATTTAAAAATATATATTTACCATTTGGAAAAGTAATATTTTATAAATAAAAAGTTATGGCTAAATTAAGGTTCTGTTACTTGCTGTCCCATCAGGCTTTGGAGTCCAAACTCGCTGCCTGCAGGAATTTTGCCAAAGACCAGGCTGCAAGAAAAAATTTCACCAATGACAACGGATCCATCATCAACAGCAATCCCACCAAATTCTCCCAGTCTCTACATACCTCTTACTACGACAAGACGTGAGTTTTGTATGTCGTTATCACGGTCGTTATCATGGTCAAGTGCTTTGTAGTATATTAGAAACTTAAAGGTTAACCATAAATTTTATATGGAAATGTATTTAACACAGTAGTTGACACCCAGAGAAAACAGTATTTTTACAACATTCTTGGTCATATGGATATTTAATCTCAACTTCAATAATACAGGGGAATGAAATTAATATAACTAAACAATTCTATCCTAGTCAGAGAGCAGCAATGTGTTGAAGAAGCTGCTTTTTACTTTGTGGTTCACTGAGATGTCAAATTGAAAAATCACTGCTGTTTCAGTGCTTATGTTGTTATGAGTAATCTGCTCTCCTGCTAACAACATTACAACAAACTAGCTTTATGGTTTTGAATCACAACAAGAAAAATAAAGTTGAAGTTGAACTTTTAGTGACCTCTGCTGGACCATGCCCTGAAGGCCTCAGGCAGTCTAAGAGACAGGAAGCTGAATCAATATTAGACTTTGGCCTTTTGCAGTTCATGTCAGGTTTTAGAATGTTTGTCTTAGCTAATGTTCTCTGCATGTCTCTGTCAATGGTAGGACTGTTAACGGACTAAACCCCAGCTCCTTGACCTCTTTGGCACCGTCCAGAGCTGTCCCTCCACCAGGCATGTTGCCACTGAGTGTGTGAGACGTCCTTGTGCCACTCAGACCTGGACTAAAAACTGAAAACTCATCCATCTGACATGATGTGGGACACTTGAAGGACTATTGTATTGTGTGTGTGACTGCCTGTATTTGTATGTGTGTGACTGAAGAGTGTGAGGAGAGTTATATGTGAGTGTGTGTGTGTTTGGGGATTGTGCTTTTTTTTTTAAACTTGATGTGTGATGAAGAGAGGCTTCAACCACAAAAGAAACCTGCCTCCAGTTTGCAGCTCATCTGTGTGTAGGCACTCATGTTCCTACCACGTGCATGTGCCTGAAGCTGAACTCTACTGTGCTTGAATGAATGTTGCTGCTCGTTGGCTGTCCACTCAGAGGACGGCTTACCCTGTCCTCGTGTCCGCTGTCTGTTTTACAAACTACTACACCCGACAACGGTCTTTACCAGACACAGCTTTCTCCTTGACCTTATTTTTTCTTCTTCTTCTGTGATTTCACCACAATTGCACAGTGTAACTAATACTAATTCAGAATATGTTATATTTAAAAGGGATGTCTTTATATTAACTAATTTATCGCATAGTATGATTTTGAAAATTTCTCATTGGCAATGACCCTCTGTGCATGTGTGCATATTTAACATGGGGTTGGAGATGAGTGGGCTTAACCCCATATTTATGACTGAAGTGAATGTTGATCGTTCAAAGCCACATAGCTATTGTGCAGACTTTCTCCCTGCTACAGTTTTTCCACTGCGTCCATCTGAGTTGGATTGATTTTTTTTTTTTTTGATTGCGACAGGCTCATTGACCTCATGTTGATAATAAGGCACAGTATTTGAAATACTGGTTTGGTGAATCTAAAACAAAAGTGACACAGGAGTCTTTAAAAAAAAAAAAAAACAACGGTTGTTTACTTTGTGTTGTGTTTAAAGTTACAGTTGAATTTTGACTTTAGAGTCCTGCAGCACAATTTTACCAGATGGAAATCTGTTTTGCCAACACATTTCAGAAGCACGTAGTATCATAGTACTTAAATTAAATGTCACTTTAGGCAGTTGGAGTCACTAAAGCCTGTTCAGCCATCATTGTGTATGTATATAGATATTAATTATATATACATGTACTTACACCGCAGGTTAGGATGGTGGTATTGCCCAGCACCACATTGTACATATTTAGATTTGGCATTGAGGTCATATTTATTTCAGATTCTATATGGCATGTTGATTATATGAGTTTTGCTATAGCATTCGTGCTGCGATATTAAAATGTTTGTTAAAGTTGTTTGAGTAAATAAAGTCTGAGATGATAAATGCACTGCATCATTTTTTCTCAATCTATAGTGTCAAAGTTAGATATAGGGGATATAATTCTATTTTTTACAGTAATGTAAGATTTCTCAAAATGAAATGTGGCTGGTTGACACAGGACTGTGTCACATACTGTATGTATATATATACAGTGTGTGTATATAATAGTAATAATACATTTTATTTAAAAGCGCCTTTCAAGTCACCCAAGGACAAATATATATATAAATACTGTATATATGCAAATATGACTAGTGTAGTGAAGCCATGGTAGGAATAGTGACACAACATAGCTTGGTCAAGGCGTTATAAAACGGTATGATATTATGAAAATATTGAAGACATTAAAGGTGATGATAACATGTATTAGCATGAAACTTTTATTATTGACATGACCAAAATAAAAAGCTAAACGTATTGTGTCTTATGTATCTATGATATATTCAATAGCCGCTTAGAGTACATAGAATACATATAAAGTCCACTATATTATAGCATGAAATGATAACTTATTATTATTATTATGAAACAGGTCCCCAATGTTATTTAATGCTTATAATGCATGGTTTTACATTTATAGGGCACACCCTTTCTCTCCTCTCTGAACGTGACCAAAGAGATAGTCACATTTACCATTCATTTCTTCTTCTTCTTGGCATGTCCATTTTTGGTTGTAGGCCTGTCTTGTTAACATGGCTAAGTGAATGGAGAGTGAATGAAACTTTTTAACAGCGTTTAGAGTGTTGTGAAATGTTTACAGGACATCGGGGCTGAAAAGGGCAAATACTACGCAGTGAAAATATGTCTCTGAAGATTCTCAGCCATCCAGGTTGAAGAGGCAACTGGACGTGTAACTTTCTCAAAGAAAACGTTTTTTGCCTCTCAGCCAATGAGCTTCCTCAGTTCTAACTAAACTGAAAATTACACGTCCAGTTGCCACGTGCCGTCCAGAACTCTTCAACCACTACGCAGTGAATTATCGGTAAGTGTTTTACTGAGTGCGATTTAGTTATTTTTCCCAGTTTTTTTTTTCTTTTAAAAATGTGCATCTTGGGTTTAGATCATGGCCAAAGTAATGGAGATCTACCAGACCAGCGCAGTGGTCCTTCAGTGTGGAGCCGATTCAACGTAACTATTAAAGGTATGAAAAGAAATGGATTTAAGCCTTTCACAGGTATTGACTAAAGAGTGACACCAACTGGACAAATCCATCCGCTTATCCGTTACCAGGTCACGGGGGCAGCAGTCGCCCCCCAAACCTTCCTGCAGGTGGTGAGTCCACTGGAAGGTACCAACCGTCCTAACCGGGATTCGAACTTGCCCAGGAGGTGAACCCTGGGGTTCCACACCAATGACAGAGACATTGCCTCTGGGCCAAAGCACCACTGGACAAATCCACTAAAGACCAAATTGACTACAGCCAGAACAAGTAATATTGTTATTGTATTTACTTTATTTGTCTTTGCAGAAGTGAAAGAGTAGGTCATTGTGGTGAGGACTTTGAAGTTTGTGCTAGATGGAGTTGTTTTTGGCTTTGTCCAGATTTTTAGTTTTTTGTTACTTGAATTGTTTCATGTAGTTATTATTGAATGTGAAGTTCTTTAGAGTACTAAGTAGTGGCACAAATCAAATGAGTGGTTTGCTTAAGTAGATTGTAGTGGTTAATTGATGTGTTTTGTAACATATACAACATGTAACATGTTCGTTGAATCCTGTGAGCACATGTGGTTGACAGAAGTAGTGTTGTGAGTATGTAATCTGCCATGTGTTGTTTTTAAATGTGTATTTATGGACTTTGTGATTTAATGCATGTTTTGTAAATGTGAAATGCTTTGCTAATAAAAGAGTAAAGGTGTTCTGTTCATGGTAGAAGTATTCTGGTTAGCTTGTAACTTAGTTTCAGCTTACTTAAAAAAATAACTTAAAATTTAAAAAAATAACTTAAAAAAACAAACATAAAAAAATCTAACTTTTTTTCTTTCTCTACCTATACCATACCCTTGACTTTGACTGACAATGCACGCCCTAAAAGGCAATGAGAAATCCCATTCATATTTTCCATTTTTTGCTCAATTTCTGGAAATGAATGCAGACCACACACAATATTCCAACAATGTTCTTTATTCTGGAAGGTTTACAACAATCAAATACACTTCACAATGAAAGTGACTATTTTACAATTTTACAATTAATTGTTACCTTTAGATAAGGCTTGTTCTGGAAGGTTCACAACAGTCTTTTAGCTTACAATGAAAGTACAATATCAGTAAGGCACAATGAATGGAATGAGCTGGAACAACCCTAAGTGGAAAGGCCAGAGAAAAATGACTAAGTGTAGCAAAAAAGTGACTCCGTTAAGTATCTGACAATAGCATAAAGGCACAATGAATGGAATAAGCTGAATAACTTTCCTCAAGCAATTACACGTTTCAGTAAAATACTCACAAGTCCAGCAAACAAGTGATCTGCTTCAAATAAAGTTGCTCCTTCACTCTACCTGGCAGAGTCCTAGTCTTTCCCTCCATTGCACTGTTGGCACTCAGTCATTTACACACCACCTACAGCAGTGATCATCAACTGGCAGTCCATGTCTTGGATTTTAAAACAAACATTAAATAATAATTTCATTTTTACTCCACTATCTGGGTGGCTGACTTAGAGCCTTTAACAGCACCACACAGTCAGCTTTGAACTAAGCAAACTTTTATTCAAGCACGAATCTCTCTTTAAGGCCTTAAAGTCACAGACTTTAGTCAAATCACTTAGGACTGGACTGCAATCTGTCAACATTAAAAAGTAACACAAAACCATAACAGCCAGTTCATTTTAAACTGTACAACTAATTTCTCCTAAGATGTACTTCAAACATTCCTTAGTCTATTTCCATATAAGTACAGAAGTACTTATATGGAACTTCATTCTCTGTGTACAGAGAAGGAAGTTCTGAAGGCCTCCAACACTGTGCTTGAAAGGGTCAGTAGAAACTTATATGCCAGCCCGATTACATGGTAAGCATCTTTCAGGAGGTTGTATTGTGTGAGGATCAGATAAACACAAATAACAGTTTTTGCAAAAAGAGCAGGTCCTGCCCTGAAGCTCAAACCAGTGACGAGGTTCATGGCTGGTGTCTGAACTGCACTGATGAAAATGTTCAAATGGAACCGTTAACTTTTTTATTTTATAACATTTTTTTTAATTCTGTGAATCATTTTATAATTTGAATTTTTAAAATTTAGATAGAAGAAGTTTTTGTCACATTAAGGACAGTTGA